AGGGTGGTACTTCTGCACAAACATTTGGACATCATTCCACTTGGCACAAATCTCTTTAATCTTTGATGAAGGCACCTCATCCACTCCCTATATTAACACCTTTCGCAACATCAGCTTCCTTGATTTGTTCTTTCTTTGACAGGATAGAACCGATGGTCGACTTGTTTTTCCCATACTGTCATGTGGGTTTTCGATAACGTGGATGGGGTAAGAATACTCACGTAGGCTGGTAGTACGTATAATATAATGGAAAGTATGGGAAAGCACCATCAACCGACCTGCCTCTCTCTGCTCTCTATCTTAGACTGACTCACAAGTGCCTACAGGGTGAGGGGTGTTTGAAATCCTGCTATGGTCAGCAGCAATATGAATAACAGTTAGTGATTCACACAGACTGTTGGTAGTGAGTCATCTACTGGTACACTGGTTACTGGTAACTGGTTACTAGGAACTGGTACTACTACTGAGAATACATCCTGGCAAGCTCAAGTCTCACACCACTCTCATACTACTGTATTATTTCCTTCTTCACATCTATGGTGTTTCTCACTTTCTTTACAACATGGGTACCACTAGCAAGTTTCTTTGGGCCCATGGCAGCTTATTTCACAGTCCCACAAGCACTATACACAACGAAATAATTGTAAAATATGTGAATGAGAGCGCAGGTTAGTGTTCACTCAAGCATAAACAAAGCTAGACTGCTCACGGCGCCTGCGCGGGGACGCGGACAGAGTGGGCGGCAGACAGGTCCCGTACCTGGCAGTCCGAAAATAGGGGCGCGTTCGATAATAGGGACAGTTTGTCCGAAAAAATGGCCCTATTTTTGAAACGTTTGATATGTGGTACGTTCAACTTTTGAGGTTCCACTGTAATTGTTTTTCGTTTATCCATAACAATAACAGTCTCTCTACCTCTTCAATTATTTGCGATCTCCATTTTGAAAACATACTTGAACCTTTCGCAACAACAGCTTCCTTGATTACCTGTCTGTTCGCCAAGATAGTACTGAAGGTTGAATGTGATTTGTTGTACGTGTATTGCCTCTCCAACTCAGCCATACAGACTCCACTCTCTTATTGTTCAATGATCTCCTTCTCCATTTCCATCGTAATTCTCACCCTTTTTAACACAGGCTTGGCACTAGAAGCTTTCTTGGGGCCCATGGTGGCTTGTTTAGAGGTTACAAGCACTAAAAACAGTGGAATAATCCAAAATATATGGGATGCACACATGGAAACCAATCGCAACAGCTTGCAAACAATGGCACACTGAGTCTTGGAATGGCTGGGCCCACTCAGGCCGCGCTCCAGGCACATGGACATGTTCCGGACGAAAGGCGTTGGTAGAGTTTTTCGCCGTTGGTTAAGACATTATTTACACCAAAAAGCGCCGTTAGACGAAATTGCCGTTACTTAATGCTGCCGCTAGTTGAGGGTCCACTGTATATTATAGAAAAATAGTAATAAACAACATTTTTTATTGTTGGTTTGTGTGTACATATTTTGTAAACAATAGAACGATAGCAATATTTGTGTGGTTATTGTGTAGCATACAGTGAATAAATTTATATACAATATACCTTATATTGGTCTCACAGGCCATAAAGTTACTTGAAAAAAATAAAATATTAAAAAATAAAAGAAAAAATTACATTAAAAGTAAATATAAGTTTTATGTACACTGATTTGTACTAAGCAAATGGCTAAATATTTTTGTGATTCAATGAATTTAATTGTATTGTTGGAATGCATTATATTAAAACCACATTATAATAATACCTTGATCAGTATGGTATTGCATAGCATGGTATTTTTTTTGACACGCATTAACCATACTCTGCAAGGTATTGCTGTACTCAATTTTAGGCCAATAATAGCACCAATACTCAATTTGAGAACCTCTGCTGATACTACCAAAATTAAACTAGCTACCAATATTAATACTTTACAACTCCCTTAGAAAAATCCCAAATTCCTAATCCGAATTTTAAAGATTTTCTTAGGGATAATTTGCCAAACTCCCTCTCTCATCAACTACTCCCTTAGGAGTAATCTCAGCAATAAATTTGCTAAAAAAAAAATAAACAGGAAATAAAGCTAATGTACCTTCGTTTATATACAGTGGACCCCCGGTTAACGAACTTTTTTTATTCCAGTAGTATGTTCAGGTGCCAGTACTGACCGAATTTTTTCCCATAACGAATATTGTGAAGTAGATTAGTCCATTTCAGACCCCCAAACATACACGTACAAACGCACTTACATAAATACACTTACATAATTGGTCGCATTTGGAGGTGATCGTTAAGCGGGGGTCCACTGTATATGAAAACTTGACGTGTGCTAACCCCAACCATTGTAGTGCTGTTGAACAGATCTATTGAATCTAAAATGTGCCCAAACATTCTTGAACTACTTAGGGTTACACTAATCTACTAAAATGAATATCCATCAGTAAGAAACTATAAGAACTAAACAATGTAGACATTCCTGGCACTAAAACAGCATTTCCTCTGTTATTAGTTATGTCTCCAGACCTTTCCTGTATTACACATGCTTTCCATTTTGAATTTTATTGACACAAAAAATAGATTTATGGTTAGGTAGACTACTGCAGTATTGTAATAATTGTATAAATAATGTCAGCGCATTCATAAACACGTACAGTGGACCCTTGACCAATGATGGCATTGACTGATGATAAAATTGGGTAATGATGCGTTTTTGCATAAAAATATTGGCTCAGCCAATGATGAAAAACTCAGGTAAGGACATTCATCCCAAATGTGTCCGCCTTTCGCCGTCCAGCCTGAGCGCCTCAGCTGCCCTGCCTTCAGCTAGTGTGCCATTGTTTACGAGCCAGGGTGGACGGTTTCACGCATACATGCGATACATTTTGTATTATTCCATTGTTTTTAATGCTTGTAACTGCTAAATAAGCCACCATGGGCCCAAAGAAAGCCTCTAGTGCCAACCCTGTGGTAAAAAGGGTGAGAAATACTATCGTACCACGGTCAGCTGTTGCTGCACCACCGTCAGCTGCTGCTGCACCACCGTCAGCTGCTGCTGTACCACCATCAGCTGTTGATGCACCACCGTCAGCTGTTGCTGCACCACCGTCAGCTGCTGCTGTACCACCATCAGCTGCTGCTGTTGCTGCACCACTGTCAGCTGCTGCTGTACCACTGTAGCTGCTGCTGCACCACCATCAGCTGCTGCTGCACCACCATCAGCTGCTGCTGTACCACCATCAGCTGCTGCTGTTGCTGCACCACCATCAGCTGCTGCTGTACCACTGTCAGCTGCTGATGAACCACCGTCAGCTGTTGCTGCACCACCATCAGCTGCTGCTGTACCTCCATCAGCTGCTGCTGTACCACTGTCAGCTGCTGCTGTACCACCGTCAGCTGCTGCTGCACCACCATCAGCTGCTGCTGTACCACAGTCAGCTGCTGCTGTACCACTGTCAGCTGCTGCTGTAGCACCGTCAGCTGCTGCTGTTGCTGCACCACCATCAGCTGCTGCTGTACCATGGTCAGCTGCTGCTGTACTACAGTCAGCTGCTGCTGTACCACTGTCAGCTGCTGCTGTACCACCGTCAGCTGCTGCTGTTGCTGCACCACCATCAGCTGCTGTTGTACCACCATCAGCTGCTGCTGTTGCTGCATCACCGTCAGCTGCTGCTGTACCATGGTCAACTGCTGTTGTAAAACAGTCAGCTGCTTCTGTACCACGGTCAACTGCTGCTGCACCACTGTCAGCTGCTGCTGCACCACCGACTAACACCCAGGTGAACAGGAAAAATTGCCTGGAACTAGTGCTCGTATTGGTGAATTTAAGGTCAGCAAAGGTTGGTTTGAGAGATTTAAGAATCGTAGTGGCATACACAGTGTGATAAGGCATGGTAAAACTGAAAAATTCCATCCCCAACAAGCGTTCAATTGTGATGAAACAGGCCTGTTCTGGAAGACAATGCCAAACTAGACCTACATTACTCAGGAGGAAAAGGCACTCCCAGGACACAAGCCTGTGAAAGACAGGCTAACATTCATGTTTTGTTGTAATGCTAGTGGGGATTGCAAAGCGAAGCCTTTACTCATGTATCACTGAAAATCCCAGAGTATTCAATAAAAAGTGTCTCATCACTCAACAATACCCTTCAATAAAGGTAAGTGTCAATTTAGTATTTATTTACAGAGTTATTGTGCATATCTTATTGTTTTCTTTGTAGGGAAATGTATATTTCATGAAAAAAAAAATTATTTTTTTTTAATACTTTTGGCTGTCTGAAATGGATTAATTGGATTTCCATTATTTCTCATGGGGAAAATTAATTCGGCTAAGGACAAGCTCTCTGGAATGGATTAATATCATTGGTCGAGGGTCCAGTGTATTAGACTGAGACGCGTTTTGGACGAATGACATAATTTGAGCCCTCTGGAATGTTGGTAAAAACTGAACATTTCCACTATTTTGAACTCAATATCAAGCAACTTCCAGTCCTGAAGCCAATCAAAATCATTTCTGTTTCTGTAATATATCTTTTATTCTATCAAATGATACCAAGAATACAACCATAAAAACCATCCAAAAATATACCTCAAAATCACTATTTTAAACCAAATACACAATCACATTTTTTTTCCCACTATGCACTGTGTGGAACAGAATTGTGTTATATGGTGTGTGCTCACCACATAGACCCACTTTCTCTTATATCTAGACCCAAATTTACCACTCACTGCTTATCTGAGTGAGCTGAGCTCATCACGTACTATGGCACAGACCCTGAGCTGAAACCCGTGGTACTACAGCACGGACCTCGAAAAGGTTAAAATGAGGTCCGCTAAATTGAAGTTTTACTGTACCATCATACAGTTATGAAATTTTTATTTTATAATGTAAGTATTGTTGCTGTTCAGTTTGAGGAATCAGGATTAATGTTTGTAATCTTGGTATATTTTGTAGGTACTACCTCAAATATCTTTTTTCTTACAGTGTTAAAATGTATGTTGAGGATAAGAACAGCCACCAAGGGCCCATAACATTCGCTGTTACATCATCAATGACAGTGGGAGAATTGCGAAAGAAAGTAAGTTGCACTCCATACATAGGTGAATCTCTTTACTACTTCACTTATAGCATCTTCAAGAGTTCTTATAAAAGGTCTTAACCTCTCAACTATAGTTAGTTTTTAACCCCTTAACTGTGGCATACCTGGAAAAAGATAAGATTAAAATGAGTGGAATCTGATTAAAAATTATGGTGTGTTGAATATGATAATCTGTGTTGAAGTTGGCAAAAAAATGATCACTTGTTGGCAGTGTAACTGCACCAGTGATATTTATGTTTTACAACTTATTGATGCCAAATTATGATTATTTTTCAGTTTTTACTTTTTTTGATGTTTAATACCATTTACATTAGTTTATTTTCATATTAGGTGTTTTTTTAAGGTGTTTCAGTATTTCAAACTTGGGAACCTACTTAGCTCAACACTGCTCCACTTGAAATATACAGTATAAATTGTTTTTGTTATATTTTTTAATTAGTTTGGTCTTCTAACAGAATGTACAAGAAATAGTTCTAATATTACAATTGTTTCAATTGTATTATAAGAAGTATTTCTTCTACATGGAAACAAGTCACATTGTTTGACTATCTTGTGCTATCCTAGGCTAATTAATATGTTATTTATTTATATCCATGGGAATATCCTGGGTCATTGTGTAAACAAAGTACAGTAAACCTGCAATAAAATAGACCTCCTTAAGTGGATATCAGCTAAAACAAGCAAAAAAAATCTGGCCAGACAAAGGCTCAACATGTATATTTAATGAAGTGTCCAATTATAATAGCCATGAAGCAGACCAAATCTTATATATTGAATGGCAGTCAGGTCTACTCGTATGCTTGGCAAAATAGACCATCTCTGCTTAGTAATTGCAAGTTAGTACATTTTGGGTTTCATCCTCAGTGTGTCTGTTTTCATTGTTCCTGACTAGCTGAGTGATTGACTCATTCTGCATCAGTTTGTGATTGTCTGCATGTGTGCTTACACCATTGTCATTTTGCCTTCAATTTTTTCTGGACCATGGAGCTGAAGTCTTCTTCAGGCTGAGGGACTGACCACCTCAAATGCTTTTTCTCCAAGGTGACGGACTGACTGCATCATCTTTATTTCGCTACTACACTTGCTCCCTTTGCATTTGACTGAGGAAGTCTACTGTGTGTAGGTGAAATGTTTCATCAATAAAGATACCCAATTGTTGCATATGTGTCTTAATCTTCAACTCAAACAGTATAAGGATCTTTATTAGGGGGAACTTAGAAAATACAAAACTCAGTATCTGGTCATTTGACCTTTTGCTTTCAAAGTATTTTTAATTCTTTCTGATTTATACACTGCAGCATTGAACCCTTTTTTAATTGCATGCCAGATATTTTTGAGAGGAGACTATATATCATACATTTTCTTCTTCTTTTAGCAGACTGTTTGTATCTGACAGAGGCACGGTGGCCCAAAAGGAAAAATTAAAGTTTCTACTTTTTAATTTAGTAATATATACAGGAGAAGGGGTTACTAGCCCCATGCTCCCAGCATTTTAGTCGCCTCTTATGACACGTATGACTTACGGAGGAGGAATTCTGTTCCACTTCCCCATGGAGATAAGAGGTAATAAGCAAGAACAAGAACTAATACGGAAATAGAAGAAAGCCCAGAGGGACATGTGTGTATGTATATGCTCGTCTATGCATGTGCAGTGTGACCTAAGTGTAAGTAGAAGTAGCAAGATGTACCTGAAATCTTTCATGCTTCTTTCTTTCTTTCAACACACTGGCTGTATCCCACTGAGGTGGGGTGGCCCAAAAGGAAAAATGAAAGTTTCTCCTTTTACATTTAGTAATATATACAGGGGAAGAGGTTACTAGCCCCTTGATCCCGGCATTTTAGTCGCCTCTTACAACACACATGGCTTACGGAGGAAGAATTCTGTTCCACTTCCCCATGACGGTAAGAGGAAATAAACAAGAACAAGAACTAGAAAGAAAATAGAAGAAAACCCAGAGGGGTGTGTATATATATGCTTGTACATGTATGTATGTGTAGTGTGACCTAAGTGTAAGTAGAAGTAGAACGACGTACCTGAAATCTTGCATGTGTATTAGACAGAATAAAAAGTCACCAGCAATCCTACCATCACGTAAAACAATGACAGGTTTCCGTTTTACAGCCACTTGACAGGACGGTAGTACCTCCCTGGATGGCTGCTGTCTACCAACCTACTACTTAGACATCATACATTTGATGCACATAAAAGCAAACTCAAGTCCTGTAATCTTCTTTGCTAACTGTAAGCACAAAACTGTTGGAGCCATCTGTTGGTGACATGCAGCCCTAGATCACCTGGTGGCTGTTAGGTGTTTTGTGATGGTCTGACATATGAAGGGGGAATTGAATTAAGAAGCTAAGTAGAGAATCTGATCTCTGGTAATTGCTGCAGCCATCCAGACACTCTCAGACCATCAGCTGCATATGTAGGCAGGTCCTGCTTTACTGTGCTTTGCGTTACCATGTTTTGCTAATGAAACAGTTTTCAATTATACCCATTCTTCATTTATTCAGACTTCCTGTGATAAATATATTCACCACTCCCTATAAGCTTAGGATGAAAATATTTTAGGCCTAGCTCTATTGCTCACTTAATATATGATAGTGTAAACATTTTATCAGGCTTTTATATTCATTTGAAAATGAAAAAAAGGCTATGTTTCACTTTACAGCGATTTCTGCTTTACAGCAGTAACCTGGAACCTAACCTGTTGTATAACTAGGGCCATCCTGTATATACCAGTGTGACCTCTGGCACTTAATGATATTTGTGACATTGTTACTGGCTGTTGCTTATAGCACAACCCAGTAATGCAAACCTGTAGCAGAAATTTTGAAGTTTGTGATATCTCCTTGGTGACACTTTTGAATCTGGTCTTAAAGATCTGCAAGTTTTCTCACTTGCACCAGATTCATCTGGAGGTGTTCTGTCTTCCATAATCAGTAAATATTTTGATGGACAGCCATCCTCTCCAGTAGAATTAGACTTTCCAGTTCCTCTACCAATGTTAGGGCACTCCAGACAGAAGTCTCTTCACCACATGCAGGAACAATTGTATTTTAACCCTTAAACTGTCCACATGTAGATCTACATGCATGTGTGCAGTGCTCCGAACATAGATCAGCATTTTATTTTTCATTCCTTCAAATTTGGCACGATAAGCCTGAGGCGCCTAGACATGAAAGAATGGGTCTGTGCACTTAGTGTGCGCAGTATGAAAAAAATCAGGGACCACTTAGTACCTTGTGGGAGCACCAGTTCAATTGAGTGCCAGCTAGAGCAAATAGCATGGCAAACACCAGTGATTCACTGATATCATGTCATATTAACACTCACATTTTAAGAGGAAAGTAAAAATAGGTTAGATAAATACATGAACTTTGTATAGAAAGGGGTTTAGTTATAAGTAATATGTATTTTAAGAAAAAGGGGATATACAGTGGACCCCCCAAGTTTCGGCAGCCTCGACTTTCACGAAATTCAACCTTCGGCGAGTTTTTTTGGAAAAATTTGGCCTCAAGTTTCGTGAAAAAACTCGTGTTTCGGCGACCATCCGGTACCCATCTGCCCATCACCGCGCACACAAAGCCAGTCTCCCACGCCATTCACGCTCAGTGTGCCATTGTTCACCAACACGTGACCATCACCCTGCGGGTTCATACAATACATTTCATAACAATCCATTGTTTTTTGTGCTTGCGACTGCTAAATAAGTCATCATGGACCCAAGGAAAGCTAGTGCAAGCCCTTTGGTAAATAAAGTGAGTGACGGGGATGTGGAAGAGTTGATGGAGGACCACAGGGAAAAGCTAACCACTGACGAACTGCAAGAGCTTCAACTGGAACAGCATCAGACCACAGCCAAGGAACTTGCTTCAGAGGAGGAGGAAGAGGGAGTGGATGAGGTGCCTTCTTCAGTGATTAAGGACATGTGTGGAATGTGGAATGAGTTGCAAAGTTTTGTTGAAAAGTATCACCCTGACCAAGCTGAAACAAGCCGTATCTGCAACATGTACAATGACAGTGTTGTGTCCCACTTCAAGGAAATCTTAAAGAAACGCCAGAAAAAGACCTCTCTGGATAGATATTTTGTGCGCCAGCTGTCCAGTGACTCTCAAGTTGTTCCCAGTGGCATTAAAAGAAGAAGGGAGGTAATCCCAGATAAGGACTTGCTACCTAAAGTCCTAATGGAAGGATATTCTCCTTCCAAACAATAGTGTACACCTTCCTCCTATCACCTCCTCCCATCTTCCATCCACCCAGAAGTCTTCAGTAAAGGTAAGTGTAATGTTATTATTTATTTTAAATGCATGTACTAGATTTCTCATTGTTTTCATTATGTATATATTCATTTAATTTGAAAAAATATTTTATTTTAATATTTTTGGGTGTCTGGAACGGATTAATTTTATTTCCATTATTTCTTATGGGGAAAATGTTTTCGAGTTTCGTGAATTTCGACCTTCGGCGGGCTCTCTGGAACGGATTAATCACGAAACTCGGGGGTCCACTGTATAAGTAAATGTAAAGTTCTAAAGCTCAGAAATGTTCATAACCCTATCACCTACCAGCTTAACCCTTTCAGGGTCCCCAGACTTGTTCTCAGAGTCGCCCAAATTTCTAAAAAAAAAAAAAAATTATTTTTCTTATGAAAAGATAGAGAATCTTTTCCCGATCATAATGACGCCAAAAGTATGAAATTTTATAAAAAACTTAAGGAATTATGCTCTCGCAAAGTTAGCGGTCTCAACGATGTTTACGCATTGGCGATTTTGCCCACTTTTAGCCCTATTTTCAGCCAATTCCAGTGTACTAGTCAACAAAAATCAAAACTATTTTGCTAGAACTCCATTTTTTCTATCGAATGAGTACGAGAAACCACCCATTTACTGATTTCAACTCTCCAATACAGTGGTCAGAATTTAGTAATTTTGCCAATTTCACACAAATTTCAAAAGATGCCACTTTCCAAATAGGG